CCAAGCATTCCTGTGTTCCCTCTCTAAACCCAAAACCCTTCAACCTCTGGAAGGGGACAAAGGTTCAGGCTCCGCTATAAGCTTGGTGCTTGGTGGGTTGTATATTTGTTTTTATACATGTTTATACCGAATTCTCATGTCCCCGATTTGGGAATTACGGGCGTTTCCAGTAAACTCTTCATACCCCCCGATCTCGGAATTACGGGCGTTTCCAGTAAAATCCTAATCCTCCCCGATCTCGGAATTACGGGCGTTTCCAGGAAAATCTTAATCCTCCCCGATTTCGGAATTGCGGGCGTTTCCCGAATTACGGGCGTTTGCTTTTTTTACGGGCGTTTCCTAAAAAACCCGGTTTTTTCCAAACAACCAAAAATAATAGGGTCGTTTGGAGACCCAGGTTCTACAGTTCCTGATTTCCACATCCTGTTGCGCAAGGTGAAGCCCTAGATGCTTGCAATACGGAATCAAGAAGCTCTAACCCCCATGACCCTCACCACCTCAAAATGCCCTAAACAAAGGGCTTCGATAAACCCTGCACCCGGTAAACCCGAAACTCGCAAACTCATAATCCGAACAAAAAGAGCTTGAAGTCCGAGAAAACGTGAGCCCTAAACCCACACCAAAGCCCTGATCCGCAAGTCCCTAGAAGCCCTAAACCCCAAACCCGCAAGTCCCCTGAAACCCCTGAGCTCCACCCTAAGCCCTCGAAGCTCCTAAGCTCAAAACTCTCCCAAGCCCCCAAGCTCGTACCCTAAACCCTAAACCCAAAACCCCAAACCCTAAACCCCAAACCCCAAACCCCAAACCCCAAACCCCAAACCCTAAACCCTAAACCCTAAACGGGTAGGTGAGGGCTTCTGCGCTTCGTGCCATGGCCTCCATCAAAGTCCTGGAGGCGCGGCACCGCCTCGTGAAGCCCAGGTGTGCGTGTATATCCAGACGATTACATATCTAAATTCTGCAGGTATGTATATGTGCATACATATACATATACATATATATATATACATATTATGTATGTTTGCTTGTGTTTGTTTTACAACCATTTACAATTTTTCCGTATCCACATTGCTTTCGTGGAAAGGGCTTAGGGTTTAGCTGTTGGTCAGTTTTGAGGTGAATGCTTTTTAGGCACATGCAGCCTTGGGGAAAGGTAGAGTGCAACCATAAGGTTCGTAACCCTAACCTAAACCCTAAACCCTAAACCCTAAACCCTAAAAGATCGCAAGATCAAGCCGCAGGTGATCCAGGTCGTGATGGGAGCGGTTACCACCGCCGCCAGCGATAGCCAGGGGCTCCAGTTGACGTTTTCAGAGGCGCCCATACTTAGGGTTTGGGTTTTAGGGTTTAGGGTTTAGGGTTTAGGGTTTAGGGTTTAGGGTTTAGGGTTTAGGGTTTAGGGTTTAGGGTTCAGGGTTTAGGGTTAGGGTTTAGGGTTTAGGATTTAGGATTTAGGGTTTAGGGTTTAGGGTTTAGGGTTTAGGGATGACATCCTACCGGCTCTTAGTCTTATGGCCTGGCTGGGAATGTGGGACTGACGTACCCTATATAATCATTATAATCCCTTGAATAGTACAGAAATGAAAAAATATATCTATATAGATATAGACAGTGTATATATATATATGTATTATGTGTATATATGTGTATATATATATATATATATTTCATATATAGGCACAGGCGAGTATAAGGTGCCTGATAATTAGGCACCTTCGTCTCTACGAAGAACCAGAAAGACACTCGGATGTTGACTCTCAGGGAGCAATTGTTAAACATACAGGCTTTTAGAGTTTAGAGCATCGAGTTTCTAGAAGGCTTTCCGCGAACCCTGTAGGGTCAGAGCTTGCTGGAGATGAGTTCGATGCCTCGCCTCTTTCCCGGCACCCTAAAACCCTAACCTTAGGGTTTAGGGTTTAGGGTTTAGGGTTTAGGGTTTAGGGTTTAGGGTTTAGGGTTTAGGGTTTAGGGTTTAGGGTTTAGGGTTTCCCAAATATTTCACGAAGGGTTGACGGGCCTTCGGCCTTCGAGTCGAGAGTCCGCGCAACATGATGACTTAGTAGCTGAGTGCGTACACTTAGGGTTTAGGGTTTAGGGTTTAGGGTTTAGGGTTTAGGGTGTGCTTTACACTTTTTGGGATACTATAACCCCCTATCGCTTCTGAACTCAGCAGCTAAGATGACAAGGGGTTGAAACCGTCCCCTTTTCATCCTGTAACTCCTCATTGCCTTCGTGCGGTTTCATTTTGGCCTCTTCTCCCGAAACGGTTATTGGGTGTCGGGGGTTTGGGGGTTAGGGTTTAGGGTTTAGGGGTTTAGGGGTTTAGGGGTTTAGGGGTTTAGGGGTTTAGGGGCTTAGGGGCTTAGGGGCTTAGGGGCTTAGGAGCTTAGGGGCTTAGGGGCTTAGGGGCTAGGGGCTTAGGGCTTATAGAGCTTATAGGGCTTAGGGAGATCAACGCCTTTGCCTAGAAAACCCCGTACCAAGGCTCGGCATACGTCCGGAAGACCGCGGCGCAATGCATGACAAAGGCGCGGACCCAGGTCTCCACCTTGCCTACCCGGAGAACCCAAGACCCCTTAATAACCCTAAACCCTACCTAAACCCTAAACCCTAAACCCTAAACCCTAAACCCTAAACCCTAAACCCTAAACCCTAAACCCTAAACCCTAAACCCTAAACCCTAAACCCTAACCTTAAATCATAAGACGGATCCTCATCTGATTTAAGGTATATTCCTTCATTATGAGGGTATTGGACTCTCTGGATAGACCTTTAAGTAAGTGTACTCCTGTTTTTGGGATACTCTTTTCAAACCCCGAGAGCCCTCAGCCCTGAAGCCCTTTCCAGCCCCCTAAAACTTAAACCACCAGGACACTAAGCACCCTCAGCCCTAAACCCTAAACCCCAAGAGCCCTCAGCTCTAAAACCCTTTCCACCTGCAGGTTTATGGAGTGGACGCCGACCAGTTTTTCGAGCTGAGGCCTTTCTTTGTCCTAAAGTTTAGGGTGTAGCCTTTAGGGTTTAGGGTCTCAGGATGGGGTGTATGAAAAGGGCTCCTTTTGGGTGCAGATAAGGGGCTCCTTCGGTTGCAGGTTTAGGGTTTAGGGCTCAGGGTTCAGGGTTTCAGAGTTCAGGGTTGAGATTTTCGAATTTGGGATTTCGGGTTTTGGGTTGGAGCGTTTCCCCCAGGGCTCTAACATGACTCTCAGTGACAAAGGTTCCAACACCGAAGCCCTAAACCCTAAACCTTAAACAACCTAATCAACCCAAAACCTTAAACCCTAAACAAACCCTAAACAAACCCTAAACAAACCCTAAACAAACCCTAAACAAACCCTAAACAAACCCTAAACAACCCTAAACAACCCTAAACAACCCTAAAAGACCCTAAACTACCGTAAACCCCAAACCCCCGCGTGATGAAGCCGCACACTTGTCAGACCATTGCGGTGTTCGCAGTCTTCTCAAACCAGGGGCTCGGAGGCATCCTTCTTGATTCTGGCGAGGTTGAGGGTTTAGGGTTTAGGGTTTAGGGTTTAGGGTTTAGGGTTTAGGGTTTAGGGTTTAGGGTTTAGGGTTTAGGGTTTAGGACTCAGGTCAGAACCCGATGCAAGCTCCAAACCGTTCTTCTGCCTCCAGGCAGTCACTTCTCCAAATAGAGCTCATGTGTCAAAATGCCTATGGTCCGTAGTTGGGTATCCAGTGTTAATTCATAATGCATACTCATTCGGTTTCCTAAGCCCTAAGCCCTAAGCCCTTAGCCCTTAGCCCTTAAAGCCTAAACCCGAAACCCTAAACCCTAAACCCTGCAGGAAGCTCCTCCTCAAGCTGATGAACGACGCGGAGGCCAAGCACTTGAAGGGTTTAGCGTTTAGGGTTCAGGGCTCAGGAGGTAGGGTTGTGGGTGTAGGGCTTAGGGCTGAGGGTTTAGGGGTAAGGGTTGAGGGTTGTGGGTTGAAGGATTGTGGTACCCGTCGAGTGTTTGGCCTTATGCATCATTTCGAGCAGTGGGGATTTAGAGGGTTTCGGGCCTAGTCTAGGTAAACTGGGGTGTAGGGTTTAGGGTTTAGGGTTTAGTGGCCAGGTTAGCAGGCCAGGATAGCGCAAGCACTGATGAAGCCAAGCTTTTTTTGCACTTCACCACCCTAAACCCTCAACCGTAAATTCGAAACCCTAAGCCATATGTTCGGAACCCTAAACCCTAAACCCCAAACCCCGAACCCCGAACCCCGAACCCCGAACCCCGAACCCCAAACCCCAAACCCCAAACCCTAAACCCTAGTCTAGGACGCCTCAAGGTATCCGTCCTCTCCCCAGGGGTACCTTTTGCTCTTCAGGGATTGGGGTTTGGGATTTAGGGTTTAGGGTTTAGGTTTTAGGGTTTAGGGTTTAGGGATTAGGGTTCATGGTGTTTTCTTGCATTTCAGACTAGGGAGGAGGAACCCCTCAATCTACAGTACCCAAAGACTCCAAGACGACCCCCTTCGACAAGGAATAGGGTTACCGGTTTTAGGTGTAAGGATCAGAATTTCTGATTCTGGAAAATCCCTAGGGGGCAGGAGACTCTTTAGGTTCCCGAAACCCTAAACCCTAAACCCTAAACCCTAAACCCTAAACCCTAAACCCTAAACCCTAACTGAGGAACATCTTGGGAATCTGCAGCCGGCAGGGAATCAGAGGATCGCACGGGGGCATTCATCAAATCGATCGGACCTCTTCTTTTGACTGCACGACCACAAAGTAAGCGCTATGCTTGTATAGCTATGCCTGTTGCACTGCTATGTCCCTATACAATGGTCAAAAGTGTCTTATGTATCCTTTGGTGAATTCTTTAGGCGTTGCTTGGCAATGCCTCTGCTGTGTCATCTCGTGGCAAAAGGGTGTTTTTCCGTAGCCTTCCCCTTGATTGGAGCGAGCGTGGCCACAAGCTTTCCCCATGCACACATGTCCCACTTCCTGGAACTTCCTCACTCCTCCTTGAAGCGCACGCAAGGGCCGCTTCACCAGCCTTAGCCAAACGGAGCATGGGGATCCCTTCCATCGTGGTTTTTGCAGAAACCACAAAGATGTAGATGCTGAACACGATCTGCGGTCCCCGTGTGTCTGAAGGCGTGACACCGCTCGAAGATGTGGAAGGTTGGCCTTCCAGGCACCACATACGCCTCATCAGGAACTTCACGAATATACCTGATGGTAACTGGTTGAGGTACGGGATCAGGAGCCCACAAGGCCGGTGCTGCCGTCTGCGTTGACCTCTCAATCCTGCCCGGACGACGTGGGGAGGTTGCCCTATCCTCAGTTGATCTTCGCCACGTAGAAGACGAAGATGCACTACCGATCCTTATGGCTGGTGCGGGCTCAGCATCTGGCTCTCTGGACAAACGAGCGAACTCCTCATTGATAGCCTCTGCTGTGGCCTCACGCAATCTTTGTAGCCTTCGCATGCGCCGTTCGCTTACTCCAGCCCCCAATTGAAAGAAAGCTTGCCACCCCAACCACTTCAGCAACTCCCAACATAGTATCATCACCAAAACCAGTCCCCAAAAAACTGCCCACGTTGCTAGGCTTCTATCCACCTTCAATGGCTCCACTGGCAACATCAGCTCCTGTCCTTCCACTTCGCGGGAACTTTCTCCAGGAACCACAGACTGAGCCAAAATCATCAATGCCAGCAGAACCCTCGACATGCTTGGGGTGGATCTGCCTTCGGAGGCCTCATCGCTTTCAAGAGGTTGTTCTGGTCGGGGGCGAATGTTCCACAGCTCCATAAGTTGCAGCATTCTCGGGGAAGCCATAGCTTTCGTTAAAATATCTGCAGGTTGGCACACACCTTTGCAGTGGGTCATCACAATCTGGCCGTCCTTCACCTTCTCATACAGCCAGTTCGCTTTTATACGAAGATGTCTGGTACGCCACGATCCAGACCCCTCCACCAGCGAGAGCGCGGTGGTCGAGTCTGACTCCAATTGGAGCCCCAATGGCTCCTGTAGGACGTCATGCAGCAAGGCCTGCGTGCTCAACAATGCCAGTGCTCCCTCCGATGCCGCGTTGAGCTCTGCTTCACCGGTTGATAGCGACGTCGTTGTTTGTCTCGACGACCGCCAACTGATTGGGACTCCATGGAGCATGGTAACCCAACCAGAATGTGACCTTTCCCCAGAGGGTGCAAACGAACTGTCAGCATATCCAACCAGCTGTGTGGAATCAGCCTCGATGTACAGGAGGAAGTCGATTGTCCTTTGTAGGTATCCTCTTACCTTTGCTGCCACTTCACATACCCGTCTTGGAGCCCGGGTGGTGAGGGAAGATAGCAGCGACGCTGTAAATCCCAGGTCTGGCCTGGATCTCTGGCTCACCCAAAGGACTTCTCCAGCACATTGTTGGGCTTGTCGTAATTCATGTGGGGTATAGTCTCCTTCTTCCAGCGTGGCCTCGAAGCTTGCTGTTTCGCGACTGACTGGAACGACGTCGCGCCGCTGTGGCTCCACGTTGTGCACCCTCAGCAGCTCCTGGATGTACGAGCTTTGCGAGATTGCGAACCCCCGGGCCGTGACGTGGATTTCCATTCCCAGGAATCTTATAGGAGCTCCGCTCATGGCAAACTGCAGCGCTGACGTCTTCCATATTTGCTGTACTGCTGCAGACACGGCCTTGATAATGTTGGGCGTGGAGAGAATCAGGTAGTCGTCGACGTAGATCACCAAGATTCCTTTCCACTCTCCAGCCACCCGGATAGACCACCACGTAGGCTCAATCTGCCCCTGCACCAAAACGATTTCTTGATCACCCAGCAGGGTTTTCAGTTTTTTCATCTCACCATCTCTGAAGAAACCCCATAGGCGTGGCGATTCACGAAGTCCGTAAACCGCATGGGTTATTCCCCAAAGCTCATCCTCATCAGCCAGCTGTGCCTTGACCAGTGCCTTTGGCGGAATTGCCACCACCACCGGCGCCGAAGGAACCTCGCTCAGCGGGGTTTGTAGGAAAGCCGATATTATATCCAGCACAGCTGCCGACCAACCAAAACGGCTGGCTAATGTCAATGCTGCACGTACCACCTCCGCAGGCGCCGCTCCAGTGTACACTTCCAAGTCAGAAGGGTCCGCCAGGTTGCCGCAAATAACAGCACGGGCTTTTCGCTTACACAGTTGGTCCCCGTTGACGGTCGGTGCCTGATCCGGAGGCTTTATTGTGTAGACGAGCTTCATCGGTAGCAGCTGCACACCGCTTCGGCCCAACCACTGCTCTCGTTCCAGGCTGCCCTTCTTGAGGCGGACGACCGCGTGCTCAATTGCACCCAGCTCCTTCTTGATCGCGGGTATCCACTTTTCCAGCTGCTCCAATGCCTCAGCCGGATGTACCGTGTGCACCACAGCAATTGGCTCGGTGAGGGACTCCAACAACGCTTCAATGTTGCGCGTATAAGCCACTTCCGCCTTGAACACTGCCAGCGAATCCTCGCCCTGCGACGTGGTGGGCTTTAACTTGAGTATACGGGGCTCATCTTCCTCTCCTACCACCAAGAACATCTCTTCCTCGGTGTCGTCGGTCCAGGTAGACGCCCTCGCTTGGTTGGATAGCGAGCCTTCCGAGGGCGCTTGCATTGCCCTCTGGGCCTTCCAATCCATCACAAACAACAACATGCCATCTGAAGTTCGCACCCGCTCAGCTTGCTCACCCCCACTTGCGTCTTCACCCTCTTCTTGTTCAGGCCGCGTTGCTGGGTTTGCCCGCAACATCCTCAACGCAATCGAGTCTTGACTTTCAAGTAGAGGAGGGTTGAAGCCCAAAGATGCCAACAACTCCTTGTCCGCGGAATGAAGTGACCCCACTCTTGCAGGAGTGTAGCCAATGACTGTAACTCGATCTCCTGGAGACCCTTTCCAAGGCAACACCGCATGTCTTTTTCGGGGGTTGATCGCCTTCATTTCGCTCTCCTTGAGGGACAACGTGGTTCCAAAATAGGACTTCCCCTTCTTATCCTTGAGCTCCACGATCTTGTTGGTGACCACGTCCCCATTCACTAGCTCCATCCACAGATCTCCTCCTCGACGGGGCAATCTCAAGGGGTAAATGTAGTTCCTAGACCCTGCTTCGTTATGCGAATCCGCATGGATCTCCTTCTCTCCATCCACCGCCAAGTACACTGCTGCAAACTCGGCATCGGGGTCTGCCTCCTGGAGCAACTTCACCAGCAGCTTCGCAAACCATGGATTGTCATGAGTGGCCCTCGTTACCCCCATGACGCCCCCATACCGAAACAGGCCATACTTTGCAGCCAGCGTTGGCATAATCGAGCACGCTTGCAGTATGAACTCTTCCGCCTCCTCCATGTCCCAGTTCTCGATGAGCTTTTCGGCTTCTACACGAAGTTCCTCCTTGGCCTCTTCAGGATTGGCTTGGAGCTGCGACACTCTTGCCTCTGAAAACTTGGTTTTCCCACGAATGCGTCGCCTTGCTCCTGGGGGAGGTTCTGCTTCAAGCACATCTTCTGGAGGTCCTGGGTCATGTAGGTGATGGCGAACATGCTGCGTGTGCAAAAAACGACCTCCCTCATCCGGGATATAGACCAAGTGACCGTGCCGAATTGCATCCGACAGACCCAGGTAATGGCCTTCTTCCCAGCGAGGAGCTAGATCATCTAGTTTTCCCCCATGATATGCCCCGGTGTAGGACTTCTTCTTCACCAACACCTTGGCTCCAAAAGGGGCTAGCGTCTTCGCTTCAAAACCCAGGACAGCGGATCTTTGCTTGGTCGCCACATAGGAAGCGGCATATGGCCATAGGTTTTGTGGTAGACCTGATGCTGCTAGAACTGTCCGGGCCCTTTGCTTTACCCACCTCACGGTGTTCTCGGCCGAGCCATTCGACTGATGTTCACCGCCTTCACTGCATGTCAATCTCATTCCTTGCTCCTTAATCCACCTCCTCGAGGCCTTGGCGAAAAACTCCATTGACCTGTCGCAGTGGAAGCGTAGGATGGGGATGTTATAGGAGCGGACGTAGTACACCACATCTTGCACTGCTTCCAACACTGTGGCACTCTTATTGTCCTGAAGCCCTGTTGCGAAGATCAAGTTGACCATTTCTGGGGCTGCCAAGTCTTCACCTTCTGGTAGCTCTTCCCCTTTGGGTCGTTGGGGCTCTTGTTCCTCCTCCTCCTCTTCCTCTGGTGGAAGAAGATCTTCCTTCCCTCCGTCCTTTGGCTCCAGGAGAAAAATTGGCTCCGCTTCCGCAAGTCCATCGTCAGGGTTTGTTGGTTCAGACTCCTCCTCCTCCTCCGCTGGGTCGTACTCCAAGCCGACTCCACGCCCGTCGTCCACGAAGCTTTTGGGAACCCTTAGCTTGGCCACGAAGAGGTAAGGGAGGCGTTTGGGAGCCCGACCACGGCCATGGGAATCGAGACCATGCTCTTTCAATGGCCCCGACAAATCTGCCGTCAACACGAACGCGTCCGGGTGCTCTACTCGAGCGTGCCTTCTCCCAGTCGCCCCTGCTTGAACACATGTAACACAGTCCCTCCTGAAAGGAAGGTGCCCCTGACGAACATGCTCTCGCCATTGCTCTGTAGACATAGCCATCATTCTCGGAACACTCCCTTGCGCAATCACTGCCTTGACGATTGCTTCAACAAGCCCTGGGGCCCACACTGCCAGCTCCTTGGTAGACTTTGTCCAGGGGTCAAAAGATTGCTCCGCCGAAAGACCGTCCACCGAGCTCAGGAGCCGCAAGTTTGTTCCAAGTGATGTCGGCTTTCGTCGTGGATGGCCAAGGGCTCCTTGATCCAGCGTGTACACGTCCAAGCCAGCCTCTTGTGAGTATTTCATCCAAAGGTCGCTGCGCCAAAAACTGACCACCTCATTGAAGAGCTCGTGATCCCACGGAAGAAAGCCCCTAGGGTCTTGCGGCTGTTCCAGGAGGAACCCAACTTCTTTTGATTCTTCAGGGTCGGGTTGATTTGCACACCTTCCTGCAGTTGCTAACGCGTGCAAGTAGATCATCTTCACAAACAGGGCTGTGTCATGGGTCACCGTCTCGATGTCCTTAACCGGTTGTCCATCCCAACCGCCATAGGGGTATTGATTGGTCCTCACTGGAGGGGGGCCTGGCTGGTTGTAGCGAAGCATGGAATAGGTCCGACAAGGTGGCCCTCCGATCACTGCCTTGATCTTGCCCCTTCGCGCTCCCACTCCAATGCTCTCCACACCGCTTGGTCAGGACGTCATGTGTTGCACCTCGCTCAATGTCCAACTCCAGCACCACATAGCCATGTTTTTCGAGGTACTTGAACTCTTCCTTCGCCTTCTTCCCTGCAAACAAGTGAACCACCCACTTGTTTGACTCATGCAGTCGCTTTCGAGCTCGCCTGTTAAGGTGGTGTAGTCCACGTAGGGCTTGCCAACCATTTCCTTCAGGGAACCCATCACATAGGCCTTGCTTCGATAACAGCGGCACTTCTTGGAAGAAGGGCGCTTCATCAATCGCTTGATGAGCGTCCGAGGCCCTCTCACCACGACAGTACTGGATCAGGTGGTCAAACCAGGTCTTCTCCAGTGACAAGGCTGCTTGTCTGATCTTCACCCTGGTGGCCTCCGTGTTGGCCTGCAGCGTGTCGAGGTTCTTTTCCTCCAAGCGGGCTATCAAGTTCAACGCCTGGCACTCGGTGATCTCCGGACAACCATTTCGAACTCGTAGGTGATGGACGTCTCCTCCTCGACCCATGAGCTTGCACTTCTTATTGCTCCACTCCAAGGTGTACCCAAGTTGCTGCACCAAGGATCCCAGCGGAACGATTGGCGAAGTTGGCCCCCCTCCTGGACCTCCTGACGCTGGTACCAGAAGAGTTCCTCCGCTGTTCATCCTCAGCGAAACACTTTCACCTCCAGCCAATGTCACCACCACCGGAGATGCTGCCAGCCACTCCTCCTCGGTCCATGCTCTTCTAAGGGGGTGAGTTGCTCCCGAGTCCATCAGCGCGTAGACATCCTCCACATCATCAGCTTCGTTTCCACGGAACGTCCCAGGCCTTTCCAGCTTCATCACCTTCATGCTTGGTGCCTTAGGTTCTGGGGTGTTCTCCGTGGACTTTACCACCTGCGCTGCGGCTCTAAGTAAGGCTTCCATCGTCCATACTGGGTCTCCTTGAACGGTACTGGCCTCTGCGCCCTGCTCTTCAACGGCGACCTGTTGGACTTGGGGCGTAGGGGTTGTAGTCGATGAAGAAGGCGTCGTCGGCTTTGGTCCATGCTCCAAAGTAGGCCTGGGTGGTCTTTGAGGTCGACTGGTAGGACAATCACGCTGTCTATGATCCTCAGCGCCACAGGTCAAACACTTCTTCGACTTTTCGGCCTTGCTGATGGAGCTCATGTCGTGGCTGTAGGGGCACTTGGCTCCTCTTCGACATCCACTTGCCTTGAAGAAATAGCGACATTGACCTGCCGACTTATTTGGTGACGAAGGTTCCGTGGTGGTAGCTCCTGATGTAGGTCTCATCGGCCTCAACTTTGGGGAAGTGGGGCTCGAGGTACCCATAGTCGCCATTAGGTTCTCCACCTCCGCCTGCAAGTGCTGGTGGTAGCTTTGGACATTTTCCAAAGTTGGTTGACCATCTATGCGCAGCGAGGAACGAAGGACCTGGGTTCTGAAAGCCGCGTCCGCGTTGGTGTTGACAAACTTCCCGGCGATGGTGGTCAGAGCCTTCGCTAAAACAGATCCATCCGGGCACGCCATCCCCATGTCCTTGCACCTTTGCATAGATCTCGGCCATGCCCTCAAAGACGTCAATGCTTGCGACAGAGTCTCCGGGGCTGGAGGGTCTTGGAGCGCCTGTAGCACCCTTGCCCGTTCATGAGGTCCGCCAGGTTGATACACAGTGTGAAGTCGAAACAGCATAGCGACTATGCTATTTGTAGCTCTCCGACTCACCAAATCCTCCTTGACCACCTCATCTAATGCCCCAAGAACCATGGTGCACGACCTTGCATTCAATCGCGTCCATTTTCCCGTCGTTAGCTTGCTTTCTCCAGAGGGCTTAACTTGCAACCTTTCCAACGGCGTGGCTGCCAACCAAACCATATATGCCTTTGCCACCTCGCTCATCACCTCCTCCCACCACTTTCCTGAGCTCATTGAGAGGTCTTGCATGCACGTACTCACCAGTGCCAGCCAGTCTTGTAGTTGAACTCCAGCTTGATCATCGGAAGGAGCGCGAAGTGTTGGGAGGTTGGTCACCGTAGTTTTAATTTGCTCAGGGCTTCCATCTTCTTCCTTCCTCAAAGACTGCACTTGCAATTCCTGAAGTTGCTGGATCCCCTTCGCTATGGCATCAAGGAGGCTTGGTGGGGTAGTAGACGAGCTAGAAGGCATAGGTCCCGGCTGCTGCAAGGGCGGTCCTTGAAGATCACTTCTCTGGACTTGTCTTACTTCGCCTTCGTTCAGGGCCTTACCTCCACCTTGATGTTCATCGTTCCCTGGAACACCTCGCCCACCTTGCCCTCCGGTTGCTGCGTGTTCTCTTGCCACACCAAGTCGCCCTGAAATTTCCTCCCACAAACCCCCAAGAACATCACTTCGAAAATCTGATCTTGCCGTTGAGGTAACCTTGGGTCGAAGATCACCTGCTGGAGGTTGTGGAGGTAGTAGAGGCTCAGCACGCTGCCTCAAACTTGGGCGGGAATCTACCACAGAATCCTTGGGTTCTTCCCGTTGTACTTCGGCCAACTGCCTCTGCAAACGGACGTTCTCGGCCTCAGTACGTTGAAGCTTCTCAAGAAGACCACCTAACTGCCGCTGTACTTCAGCTTGTATTGCCTCAGCAGGAAGGCTAGAAGAGCTCGGCGGGGTAGCAGCTCTAGGTTGTTCTCCTCGATGAAGCGCTTCTCCTCCTGGACTTTGATGCCGTGGTGCCGCTCTTGCTCTGCCCACATCGTGTGCGCTGTCCAGGGCAGGAGATGGAAGTGGACTCGGCATCCACGTCCGTGGTATATTTGGGGGCCGAAACAAACCAGTCAAACGGTTCATCCATCTGGGCCATGCTTCCCAGTCCTGTGAGCCGCCGAAACCAGGCCTTGCTGCCGCCTCCACACCCAGATTGTACTCAGCCCACGCTGTTCTCATAGACCTCGGTGTAAGAAACCCAGCAGATCCCTGCTCACGTGGCTCCACAGTCTCTGCTCCAGCCTCAAAATGAGGCTCATCTCCAGGGGCTTCAGGTCCTCGAAGTTCTTGAGGAGTCGCCGGACCGGCTGTGCCTCGGGTGGCTTGGCCATCATCATTTGCACCTGCCCTTATCCTCGGCTCCCCAAGTTGGGACTCTATTGGCCCTTGATCTTCACGTTGGTGACTCGAAGCAGAACCATCGTGGGAGTCTTCTTGATGGCCAGCCGAGCTAACATTTTGCACGGCGCCATACATTGCTTCTCCACAGCGTCCTCGCTCCAGAAAAACATCTGAATTCACAGGCACTGATTGCTGCGCTGTCCGCGGCCCAACCACCAAGGGGCTGGTCTCTCTCCGCTCTGAATGCGCAGGGCCCGCAGCTCCATTCATCAAAGGTCCAGCTCGCTGCTGGACTCCGCCACCCACAGCACCACTTTCAGAGCGCACTGCTTCAGAGCGGGCTGCATCTTGTTCACGTAGCGTAGATTGGGCGGTCATAACCTGAGGAACATCTTGGGAATCTGCAGCCGGCAGGGAATCAGAGGATCGCACGGGGGCATTCATCAAATCGATCGGACCTCTTCTTTTGACTGCACGACCACAAAGTAAGCGCTATGCTTGTATAGCTATGCCTGTTGCACTGCTATGTCCCTATACAATGGTCAAAAGTGTCTTATGTATCCTTTGGTGAATTCTTTAGGCGTTGCTTGGCAATGCCTCTGCTGTGTCATCTCGTGGCAAAAGGGGGTTTTTCCGTAGCCTTCCCCTTGATTGGAGCGAGCGTGGCCACAAGCTTTCCCCATGCACACATGTCCCACTTCCTGGAACTTCCTCACTAACCCTAAACCCTAAACCCTAAACCCTAAACCCTAAACCCTAAACCCTAAACCCTAAACCCTAAACCCTAAACCCTAAACCCTAAACCCTAACCCTACACCCTAAACCCTAAACCCTAACCCTAAACCCGAAACCCTAAACCCTATAAGGCCGAAGCCCTCTCTGGGGCCGATTTTCCAACGAGCCTCAAGCAAATACCCATCACCCCAATGTCCCGCAGAGAGCTCTCAGAGTGAAAAACTAGACTATGAGAGGGCTTCAGGGTTTATGGTTGTTTAGGGTTTAGGGTTTAGGGCTTAGGGCTTAGGGCTCAGGGTTTCTAGGGTTTAGGGTTTGGGGTTTAGGGTTTAGGGTTTGGGGTGTAAGCTTTAGTGTTTTGGGTTTGTAGGGATCGAATATGATGTAAACCCGTAAGCCCTATAAACCCTGCGAGCCCCCTTGCCACATGAAGCAGCAAGCTCCAAACGCCACGTTGCCCCGTGCGAGGTACAGGTCGTAGGGAGTGCCGTGATGGCGTTCCGCCAGATTTGCGCCCCTGCGTCTGCAAGAGGTCCAGGTTCAGAGTTTCATGTTCATGGTGAAGGTTTCTGTATAAGAGATTGTGCTAGACTTGGAAGAAAGTTTTCTAGCTGAGAGGGGGTACATGCCGGGCATGTGGCTGTTACTTCAGGATTCCGTGGAACGTACACACTAAGTATAGCCCTAAACCAAACTCTAAACACTAAACGCGAATCCCTAAACCCTAAATCCTAAACCCTAAACCCTCAACCCTAAACCCTAAACCCTAAACCCTGAACTGTATTCTGGATAGGTCTCCATGAGACTCAAGACCGATGTTACGCCGCGGCCGTTTGTAGCACAGGAGTCTAGAGAGACTCGTGTATTAGGTTTAGGGCTAATCATGGGCCTTGGGATTACAATGATCCTCATACACGTATCATTTGAAGCTACCCAAGATACACATTCAGCTTCAAAAGGCCCAAGATTACGTGTGTGTGTGTGTGTGTCGGATTGACAGCCAGGCGTCTATTTCTGTGCCCTTTACTGAGGTTGTCCAGCCCCCGAAGCCGTCTGCCGAGGCTGGGCAGTATCCCAATCAAGGGGCCTGCATTACCCTAAGGGCCCATGTCCCCACATGGTATATACTTGGGCCCTAAAGCTACTATATAGGAACCCCTTGGAGGCCCAAGACTATATAGGTACATGGACTCTTTGGCTTAGTAGGGAATGGACCCTAAAAGGGCATTCAGGACACGGTGACTGTTTTGGGGGTGCGTGGTAGGATTCTCTCTCTTAAGTCAGAAAACTGCGCGCAGCGCACCTTCAAATCCAATGCCGGGCCTCGCCGCCCCTTTTAATCTCGCAGAAATCCACACCTGTCAAAATCATATAAAAACCCGTGGACCATGTTGTAAAGAGAGCAAAAACCAGCTTCGACTCTTCGGGGGAGGGGGCGGGAAGACATAAAACAGGTGCAACAGTACGTTGGCCATCAGCTGTACCTCTGCATGGTTTCTATATGTGTATCTATGTGCTGTCCTGTAAACTCATTGCAGTTTCCGAGCACAGTCGAGTGTTCTCCAATATCCTTCATGATTTAGGTTTAGGGCTTAGGGCTTCGGGCTTAGGGCTTAACTCAACTCCGGACAACCTAAACTCGAAGTTCTCAACCTCGAAACTCTAAACCCTAAACCCTAAACCCTAAACCCCAAACCCTAAACCCTAAACCCTAAACTAAACCCTAAACCCCAAGCCCTAAACCCTAAACCCTCGTAATCCCTAAACTGGGGCAGGTGGAGGCTGAGGAGACCAAGCCAGGAGAGCCAGAGTGCAGAGTGCACGATGATATCAACCTCAAAGGGGTTTAGGGTTTATATAGGGTTTTAGGGTTTAGGGTTTAGGGTAGCCCAGTGGTACCCTTTACCCTTTTTTTGGTTCTGGGTTCCCTTTATAAAGTAACCAACCAAAACAAGGGTGCCCTTATTATAATATGGTTACTGGGCTAGTAAGGTTGTAGGGTTCAGGGCTGATAGGGTTTGGGGTTTTGGGGTTCATAGGGTTTGGGGTTTATAGGGTTTAGGGTTTAGGGTTTTCAAGCCTAACGGCGCAGATGCCCCTACACTCCTCATAGACATCTTTTTGGAGTCATACTCTGGAGATCCTGTTGATGCAAGGCACGTTCCCGCTTAATTGTAAACGCTTGCGCGCGCCGCCTCGGCAGCCGGGCCGGCCCCAGGCAGGAAAGGAGGAAAGAGGGTTTCACAACAAGGAAGGGTTAAGAGGGGGGGGTGGGGGGGGGGGGTGGGGGGGGGGGTTGGGGGGGGGGGTGGGGGGGTGGGGGGGGGGGGTGGGGGGGGTGGGGGGGGGGGTGGGGGGGGGGGGGGTTTGAGAGGGGGTTTTGAGGCACTTTCCCTGTAGGAGCCACCGACAGGCGGGACCCTCCACGGCATCGGTTTGCAGCTCCTCCAAGCGATTGGGGGGGGTCCCACAGGGCGGGGGGGTGATTTCGCATGGGGGGAAGGGTTGGGTTAGGGGGAAGGAGGCCCGATCCAGCACGTAGCATGAAGTGCATGCACTCCTGCACCAACGGCTTGTGGCAGATGACTTGTGCCTATGCAGTGTGCACCAGCTCCAGGCACCTGCTGCTGGCGCCTGAACGTCCGAAGCCTTTGGCGCTCGTGCTGGGATTGCCACTGCAGCAACTTCCAGGGTCAGTATATTGCTCGCAGTGCGAGTGGCCATGCCGATGTCACGCCCTGCGAACTCGGCTGTTGAAAGGAACAACGATCCTCACAGTTTTAACAGACCATTTGGGCAACTTGGGCTGCCGGGCAGTTCCGTTGGCGATTGCCGGACAGAGGGTTCATAGGGGTCAATCTGCATGTTTAGCAAATAACGCTTTCAAGGCCCAAGTAAAACCCTAAACCCCAAGTCCTTCATAGGTCCTACTACCCTACGGCCTCTGTGCCCTCGGACCTCGACTCTCCAGAGAATTAGGACGGGAGAAGCCCTGCCTCTGAGGTACGAGTCCCCTGCAGGGCCCACTGCGCCATCCCTAAACCCTAAACCCTAAACCCTAAACCCTAAACCCTAAACCCTAAACCCTAAACCCTAAACCCATCTTTTCTCACCCTTCCATGAAAGTGATTGGGGAACCTTGTGAAGGAGCCTCCTCCGATCCTGCTCCAGCCTCGGGGATGCTGGGGTTTCCGATGAGTACTACTTGCTCAAGAACCTCCAAAAAAAGAAGAAGATAGGGTTCAGGGTTAAGGGTGTAGGGTTTAGGGTTTAGGGTTTAGGGTTTAGGGTTTCGGGTAATGATCCCACAAGGAAGAATACTTCTCATTTCTTGGGGGCTTCTTAAGCCAATAGTAGAGGAAGTCGGGAGGGTGGGACGGGTTGGGGCTAAGAGTTTTTTCCCTGAACCCGAAACCCTAAACCCTAAATCCTAAACCCTCAACCCTTGAGGTTTACATAGACTCGGACCCGGCATAGGCCCTTCTTCCCCTTTTTAGGGTTTAGTAACTTCTGCACCCCTTGAAACCCGAAGGGGTGCCCTTTCCACGGCGCCCTTTTCATACCTGACGTCGAGGGTTTAGGGTTTAGGGTTTAGGGTTTTAGGGTTTAGGGTTTAGGGTTTAGGGTTTGGGGCTGTGGAGTTTCGGATGTCATGCTCCAGGATTCTCGAGTTGGAGTTTTGGGGTTGGCATGATTAACGGAGTTTTCAGTCGTTTCGAAGTAGGGTTGAGGGTTTAGGGCTTAGGGTTTAGGATGCCCTCAGTTCTTTTTTTACCACCCTAGACCCTAAACCCTAAACCCTAATCCCTAAACCCTAAACCCTAAACCCTAAACCCCCTTCCCTTCCATTTGCGCATTCGGCCGCACCCGGTCTCAAAGTGTTTCAGGGTCGGGTCGTTCTGGCCCCATGGGCCCGACCAACCAGAAATTGACTAGAACCCCTTAGTGCTAGCGGGTTTAAGGTCTAGGGTTTAGGTTTTAGGGTTTAGGGTTTAGGGTTTAGGGTTTGAAGCGAACTACAACCATCTCGCGACTGGGGTGACTGCTCATGTCTGCCCTTCATCGTTGAATGTACCCCAAACCCAGAACCCCAAACCCAGAACCCCAAACCCTGAATGTACCCCAAACCCAGCACCCTGAAGCTCAAAACCCTGCCAAGCCCCACGAGCCCGAGCAGTCCATGTACCTGTATAGTATACACTTGGTTTATGGCCCAAGAATACACAATATAGGTACCTGCCCTCTTGGTGCACCCTACTAAACTACTAAACCCACCCTAAACCCGAAACCCTAAACCCTAAATCCTAAACCCTAAACCCTAAACCCTAAAACGTGTAAGGCGCGCCAGCAGTTGGAGCTTCTCCATCCTCTCTTCAAGCGGCTAGTGCAGGTGGCCATTGCCATGCTTTGGGTTCGGGGTTTTAGGGTTTAGGGTTTAGGGTTTCGGTTTTGGGTTTTAGGCTTCAGTTTTTTTTTTAGGGCTTAGGGTTTACGATGTTGGGTTTAGGCTTAATGGCGAGTTTGCTTGCGGCACCTGAAGCAGAAGGGCCCGTATCCCTAAACCCTAAACCCTAAACCCTAGGTTCACCCAAGAAAGGGACCCTTGCTTCATGGCATTGTCTTGTAGTGTTTAGGGATGTACGGTACATACAGGGTTTAGAGTTTAGGGTTTAGGGTTCAGGGTTTAGGGTTTAGGGGTTCGAGGTGTAGGGTGGAGAGAAATAATTGCGGTTTAGGTGTTTGGCGCTCGTGGTTGAACTCCCAGTCCGAATCCTTGATCCCCAATCGCTGTTCAGGGTTTACCTTAAGAACCCTGAACCTTAAGAAGCTCTTAAAGGGTTTAGGGTTTAGGCTTTAGGGTTTAGGGTTTAGAGCTTAGAGGTTTAGTCTTTCGGGTTGGCTGCTTTGGGGTTCGCTCGCTGCAGATGCGTTTGGTGCAATCAAGCAGCCAGGTGCTGGTCAGTCCTATAAGCTAGGATGCCCAGTAGTACCCTTATTCCCTTTTTTGGGGGTTTAGGTTCCCTTATAAACCCCCTGAAGCAAAAAAGGGCACCCTTTTTAAGCCTAGGTTACTGGTCAGTCCTAGAAGATGCACATGGTGAATCCTCTAAACTGTGGTCCCTTTTATTTGGGGATACCCCAAATATTTGGGGCCGCTTTATCATAGTTAGCCCCAAAGGGGCCATGATTTAGAGAAGTGACCACATCTATATATGTATACTATAAATAAATAAATAAATATATATACATGTATGAGTGTATATTTATGTGTATATGTAGAAGGGCTATTGGGCTCTTTGGGTAAGGGTTCTAGGCTCAGGGCTGAGGGCTTGGCTCCATAATGTTGTTTTGTCTAGCCCAGTCCCTGAGTAAGCCTAAACCCTGGAAGGAATATCCCTTAGATTCATAGTAGGGATGCTTATGTATATATATATATACATATGTCTTATATCATGTACTGTACAGCTATTCCGTAACTGAGGTCTATTCCAGAACTAAGTTGTAGTGGGCTCTCTGGGTCCTAGCCACTTGCAAACCCTCAGGCCCCAACCCCCCCCCCCCCTCCCCCTAAACCCTAAACGCCTAAACCCTAAACGCCTACACCCTAAACCGCCCAGCTCAGCCCTGCTCCTTTCGAACCCTCAATCCTCAACCCCAAAGCACATTCTGCAGAACCTTCTCCTCATGGACTCCTGGGCGTCTGCTACCTCAGCTCCTGGAACTTGGGGCGTCCGAAATTGGGAAGGGGAGGGTTGAGGGGTTAGGGCTTAGTTTTTTTTGTTGTTTTTTTGTGTGGGCGGGGGGGGGGGAGGTTCTTCCACTAAGTAGGGTCAGGGTGCTAGGGTTGAGGGCATGGGGCGTCATTGCGATGTGGGCTCCCTTTGCTAGCTGTCATAGTGGAATGCCCTAGACAGTGATTCCCGAACGGGACCCTAATTTTGTAATTTAGGGTTTAGGGTTTAGGGTTTAGGGTTTAGGGTTTAGGGGAAGGAACCCCGCCTAGTGGGCCTAGTGGTAGGTGTTCAGCACTTGGTGCGTTGGACTCACAGCTGGGCTTGACGGCAAAGTCAGCCAGTCTCTTTCTGTTAAACCGGTTTAGGGTTTAGGGTTTAGGGTGTAGGTCTTCACTTCACGTCCGTCCACTGCAGGAGTTGTCCTGACGTGGACCTGATACGACTCACGATACAGGGAGACTTAGGGTTACTTAACCCCCCCCCCCCCCTTAGACGACCTTCCGTCATTACCTGGTGATTACCCCGCTAGAGGCCACAGATGTTTGGGGGGGGAGGTCTGTGAGGTACAGATGGGCATTTTGCGGAGTAGTGCTAGCCCAACATACCCACATACCCCCCGAGTACTCTGGGACCGCCCTCAAAAAGGGTACCGCTTTCCTGGGTAACCATACTGTAGTGAAGATGAGGATCCAAATATGGACACTCTACTTGAAGTTTCATGGTACTTACTAACCAATTATAACTGTACTTATAACCCTACTTACAATACCCCTAAAGGGCCTTATAGGGGTTATCCCACTTATAAGTAGGGTTATAAGCCCAGTTATAATTGGTTAGTAAGTACCATGAACCTTCAAGTAAGACCTCGGACCATGCTCCCCCCTTTTGAGGACCTTGCAACTCTCGCTTGCTGCGGTTCTGTCTGGTTCTACAAGGTCTAGAATGCAGGTCTTCGTGGTCTAGGAACCCTAAACCCCCAAACCCCAAACCCTAAACCCTCAATCCTAAACCCTAAACCCTAAACCCTAAATCCTAAATCCTAAACCCTAAACCCTAAATCCTAAATCCTAAACCCTAAACCCTAAACCCTAAACCCTAAACCCTAAACCCTAAACCCTAAACCCTAAACCCTAGACCTTACCTCCCTTTAGGGTTTGGCTTTGGAGTCGACTGGAATCTTGAGGCAGCAGGCGTGCATCGACATCCTGATGAGGCGAGGGATATTGATGTAAAGTATCCCTGGGCCCTAAACCTTAGTCTTAGGGTTTAGGGTTCAGGGTTCAGGGTACCACGTTTCGCCTCGCCAAGTCTTGCGTGGGTGTTTGGTTTCCTTAAAGCCCAATCCCTAAACCCCAATCCCTAAACCCCAAACCCTGACCCCCAAACCCTAAACCCTGAACCCTAAAACCCCAAACCCAGACCTTAAAGACCGTAGAGAAGCCCAATCTCCGACCCTGGAGCAGGCATGGTTCCCCTCCCCTAAACCCTAAACACTCGCCGCTCATATCCCTAAACCCTAACCCCTAAACTCTCATATCCCTAATAAGCATCCTGGTTTAGGGCTTGTGGGGTGTGACCCCAAACACCCTAAACCGTGACCCTAGAAAACCATTCCGAATGATACCCCAGGACCGCCAAACCACAAACACCTTAATCCCTAAACCTGAAACAAATACCATCCTGCAATCTAAATTCATATGCCTTAAGCTCCGAAACCCCAAGCTGGAAACCCTAAACACTAAATCCTAACCCTAAACCCTAAACCCTAAACCTAAAACCCTAGACCCTAAACCCTAAACCCTAATCTTAGTGCCTTCGCCGACTTTTTCACCCCAGAGCGTCAAGGCGCAGCGCCATGACAGGGGTCGTGGCAAGGAAAGCCCCGGCGAGAAGCCGATGTCGAAGATGTCTTCGAGGATGAAGTGGAGCCTGCTGATCTGATGGCCCTCACTGTCGAGCACAGTCTCCAGGATCCTCTTCCGGGTCCGCGATGATGGCCGGCTTCTGAAGACAGCCTGTGGTTCTCCTTCCCCAAGCGCAAGAAGGGATTCGTCAAGTCCAGACCCGTCGTATCGTTTGCACAACACTTTGCCAAAAAACTCTTTTCGGTTGTGGCCAAGATCCTCACCAACATCATCCACTGCGCGTTCCCACATGCCCTTCAGCAAGAGAACTCATACCAAATGTTTAAAGACCTCCACACGTTCATGCACCAGAAGAAGGGTTTAGGGAATTTAGGGAGCCTGGGGTTTAGGAAATGTTGGGGCTTTTTAGGTTTCGTGGACGTTAAGTTAGGGAATTTGGGCTTGGGGTTTAGGGTTTAGGATTTAGGATTTAGGATTTAGGGTTTAGGGTTTTTTGGGTGTTGGGGTACTGCTCGCAGATACTCGCGTCTCTTCTTCGCCTCACCAGAGCTGAAGCAGGACTCGTGCGCTTTTGGGGTTACAGGTTTTGAGGGTTTCGGGTTTAGGGTTTAGCGTTTAGGGTTTAGGGTTTAGTGTTTAGGGTTTAGGGTTCGCCTTTGGGGCGTGGGGCTTCAGCTTTAAGCTTTTTGGGCTTGGGGCTTTAAGTGTTAGGATTTAGGCTTTGCAGAGGTTTCCGAACCTTCAATCAGGATTGCGGGGCGTCCCAATCTGATTGAGGAAGTGCTTCTTCCCAAAGCCCATAAGCCCCATAACCCCTACACTCTGGCCTTAAACCCTGAACCCTAAACCCTAAACCTTAATCCCTAAACCCTAAACCCCTAAAACCCTAAACTTAAACCGTAGCCTTCAAACCCCATAAACCCTACACGTCGAACCCTAAACCCTAAATCCGAAACTCTAAACCCTAAATCCATAAAGCCATAAACCCATATATAACATTCACGAAGCCATCTAACCGTATGACCCAAAGCCCTAAACTTCAGAGTAACCCTAGGCCCTAAGGCCCCAAATCGAGATCAACCCTTAACCCCAACACCCTACTCCCTAAACCCCTAAAACCCTAGACCCTAAACCTTAAACCCCAAAACCCCAAACCTAAAACCCGAAACCCTAAACTGGCCCTAACCCCCAAAACCCTAATCCCTTAAACCCCAAACCCCAAACCCTAAACCCTAAAATATCCCTACGCCCTCAACCCTAAACCCTACACCCCAAAAACCCTAAACCCTAAACCCCAAAAACCCTAAACCCTAAACCCCTATATCCCTAAGCCCTAAGCCCTCAGGATGGCTCAGAGGGTCCCGTCCCCAGCGGGCCTCGCCGTTTACGGTGCCGGGTAGGGTGGTTGAGGGTTTGGGAGGGGAGGGTTTGGGTTTTTTTTTTTTTTTTTTTGGGGGGGGGGGGGGGGGGGGGGGGGGGG